AAATAAACATTTTGTAAGGGTGAAAATAAGTCATTAAGTATTTAGTTATTTAATTGGTCATGCAAGGTTACATATCCTTATGCTTTATCTTAAAGATATGCAAAAGAAAACTTCAAATAATTTTGAGAGGCACTAAAACAACAAAATGTTCATTCTATATTTCATAGCATTAATACTTTTTTAAGAAGTAAATTCTAGATTGCTAGATTTTTCTTGAGTTTGTCAGTGCGCCTGACCTGACAGGGGAGAATTTGTTCCGGTTGTCATGGCGATCGATGATGCTGATGAGGATGTCAAGAACGAGTAGACGGATCTCTGCGTCTTCCATCAGAGTGAAGGACAAGAGAGGGTCCAGGAATGAGGTGGGAAGTGCTGTCAAAATGTTTGTAGACTGAAATCCTGCTGTTACCTAAAGGAGAAACAGAGAGACTGACATTTAAAGGCACACAAGAACATCAGAGGGTTTAGACTGCATCAGCAACTGTGGATATCATGAAACAGCAGGGGGAGTAAATGGCCTCCGCATGGCACAGCGTGAGAGTATGACTGACACAAACCAGCTCACCTGCAGCAGAGACTTTAGCAGCATAAGCTGGATCATCCTACTGCCCTCAACCCTGAAACCAGAAACAGACACTTATTGACAAAATACAATATTCTTGCTACGCTAGCGTTTGTCTTATTAAACGCTTGCTATGTTAGCATTTATGCTATTCCTCAGCTAATTAGCATTTCTTCTTGGGCCAGCAGAAAATACATCGTAAACATGTCTAACTGATAAAGTCTAGGTTGTAACCCTGTCTCACCCAGTGTTGGCCGAGCCCAGAGCCGGATACATGCCTGGCACAGGAATTTTACCGATGATGAACAACATGACTTCTGAGCGCTGGTAGGGGGGCAGTGTGTTTGCAAATGAGCCTGAAAACAAAGAAAGACAGAGGGATCATGCACAGCTGATAAATCTATCTATCTATCTATCTAAAAGTCTTAAAGGGGTCATATGACGCGATTTAAATTTTCCCTTTCTCTTTGAAGTGTTACAAGCTCTTGGTGCATA